TGTGTGAAATTCATTCTCATACTCATAATCCTATAGAGCAATCGTCATTATCATCGAAATGATGATGATCATCATCAATTAATTTCGTCACCATTAGCAGGGACAGATCCAGGAAAGCTAAGGGAGTCAAAGCCCCCACAAAAAAGGTAATAGAATAAATGTGGACAAGGGGATAGACATTGATTATGGTATTGAATATGAAGCATGATATAGCTATACAAGTTGTAATTTGTACTCATGTTAATGTTATTTTACATTCCACTTAGGCCTACCACACCTCTCCTCAAACTCCGGGATCGGTGTTTCGCACCAAGGAAATTGAATAGACCGAATTAGTCACCAATACAAAGCGGTTATAGTGTCGCAGTCTAAAGAAACATATTATTCTACAATTCAGCAATTTAAGTTTGTTCAATAGTTTAAACATTCCATACAGAAATTGCAACAAAATTATTTGGTGACAGTATTTAAGCTCAATGTGTACCTCTAAATCAACATTATCGCCTTAGTCAGCCTAGCCCCCTAGAAGGCCTCTCAAAACACTTCATATTTTTAGTCAACCTAGACTCATGAATCTATTATCATTCAAAATAATTTATACGTTGTTGCAAAAAGTATCTTCTATGCTACTAGTATCTTTAATACATTTTAGACGATTTGATATACACCACTTTCGACTCCGCTCAATGCATTAACATAAGATTTTGGAGAGGTAAACAACTTTAATACCCACTCGGTGAAAATGTGATGACGTCATATTTGGTGACTAATTCTGTCTATTGCATTGTTCGCATTGCGCATGGCCGCACTGCGCATGCCCCCCCCCCACCCAGACCTTTCTCTGTATGCGCCACTGGTTAGGCCTATCAGACAAGTCGCAATATATATGAGGATGACCTATACTAACAGTAAACAATCGATTACAGCAACAAACTGGGCGTAAGCGATATAGTAATTAGCGTATACAGCTGATTGTGGTATTCGGCCCACATCAATATTGCGTATATTCAAAAGACACCTACTGACAGGCGTGTTGGCACTGCAAATACGTCATGAAAACATGATGAAGACCCTACGATGGGTTGGAATATTCATGTTTTGAACATTCTACTGTGATTTTAGTTGTTATAGATTTAATATATTAGGCCTATAACATTTCATAGTCTCATCATCATAATCTGTTTTCTGCCTACTGACAGGTTCACAGCAGTTAACCTGTCTCTTATACACATCTAGATGTGTATAAGAGACAGCCCTATATCTGTGGTTATACTTGTTAAAAATACACAGTAAAATAATTATTACTATGATTGACTAAAAAGCACATATCAATTATTTGACACGTTTTAATATGGAAATATCGAAATTTACTAAATAAATGTAATGGTATAGAGAAAGCATATATAGAAAAGGTATTATATAAACTTCTCTGCTAATATCTTGTTTTAATATTTTAGTTGAAAGCTATATTATAATAACTAATAAAATAGATCTATACAAAGTAAATAATTCGATATATCTTTTAATTTTTAAGTATTGAATATATATATATATATATATATATCATCTTTGATGATTTATGTATATATATATATATATATACATACATACATACATATACACACACACATATATATATATATATATATACATATATATATATTTATATATATATACATATATATATATATATGTGTGTGTGTGTGTGTGTGTGTGTGTGAAATTCAT